TAACAAAGTCAAGGTATAGAATAAGGGTGTTTCAAGTTTTCGAGGGGGTGACAAGCTTTCGAGATTACATCTCTTCATCAGGTCAGCAGACATTGGAATAGAATCAAATAATCAAAAACAAATACAATGCGTTATAGATAATCAAAAATGAATGATTCACACAATTCGCGCGTTGCCATGAATACGGACGACAAAAGAACACGCACATATATATATACACGCACAAAAACACACACACACACACACACACACACACACACACACACACACACACACACACAAACACACACACACACACACACACACACACACACACACACACGTGCAGAAAAAACGGTGGTGAACGGGGGTGAGTGATTGTTATAGTTTGGTAATACCAGGAGCTAATAATGACATATTTGCTCCTGGTAATACTAATATAAATCATGCATCACTATGTGAACGGACTTTTTGGAATACCAACCTCCTATGAGTGATATAATGAATCTGTTCTGTAATAACTACTAGCGGGATATTTGGCCCAGGAATGAACGCCATCATGGGACCAACCGGAGGAGGCAAATCGTCGTAAGTGTACTTATTTTAAACATTAAACAAATAAAGATACGCGTCATTTTCCAATCGTACTCTAACTATACGAGATTTTTCTGTTTGTGAGTCACGACGCTGTTTCGTAATGCAATTACATGCACGCGTAGCATGATTCAGCGAAATATATTCGTTTAATCGAATGATCACGGCATGGCACGTAATTTAAATTATGCAGACTAGATTAAAATGCAAATTAACGTTGACATTTTATTATTTGAGTTTGTGAATGAGACATGCTATACCATACCCTCGTACTAATTACGTTTGCTATGTTATGACAGATAGGATGCTAAAATTGTATCTAATCGTCATATTATGTAAACGCCTGACAAACAAGGGGTCCGTTGTCAGAAACAAATTAGTCTTAACATTAACCTTAACATTAACTTTAGACTTAAAATTAATCGTAACTTTACGAAGTTTCTGACAACGGGCCCCTGACCTTTGATATTAAAATTATGGCAGGTGGTAAGTAAAAATTATCCAGCATTACACAAGTATATGGGTTAATTTATATACCGTACTTGGCATGTTAATCGTAGGCCTACTGTAGCGGTTAGTTTAGTTAGCTATAGTTTAATCGGCGATAGCTAGTTTCTTATCGCTTCATTGAAAATGTTGTACCATTATAGCAAAAACCTTGCAGGTTTTTCTCTCTCAAATTTATCAGCGATGTAAAACTATGTAAAAATTGCCTTTCAATGAAATGAAGTTAGGATTGCTAAAACACGATTATTATTATGATTATGATTATTATTATTATTATTATTATTGTTGTTGTTGTTTTTGTTGTTGTTGTTGTTGACTAAAATTTCTCATTTTGCCTGACGAAACAGACAATATAAATACCCATTTAACCTGAACATTCAAAATGTAATAGTATGACAATATAAACCCAATTTAGATATAGGTGATAACGCTGTACCCGTAATCATTGCTCCTGGGTGTTTTTTTAGTTGTCTGGACGTGTTAGCTGGTCGAAAGGATCCAGCAGGTCTTAGCGGCTATGTCCTTATAGATGGACAAAAACAACCACCTAACTTCAAATCCATGTGTGGATATGTGCTACAGGTAAAATCCGTATCACACCGTAGCCGATAGGAATTAGGAATATGGCGAATCAAAAAATGCGCTTTCGCATAGAAAAATTCCGTCTGTGACAGCGTCTTGAATAGCGTCAGTACTCTGCTGTCAAAGAAAGGCTACAATTAGACCGTAATGTACCGCTCCTAAAATGTACTATGTGATATTTTGTCGAAGGCAAGTTGCTGATATCTGATTGTTGTAATTTCATAGAAGAAAGCAACGAAATCTGTAACATTATAATTTTCTATAAACTGTGCCATAAGGCATTCAGATGTGATTTCACGTCATCATATATCTACCTAAAGTGTGTGGTGCTTCATTCCAGGATGATATCGTGATGGGTACGTTAACCGTAAAAGAAAATCTAATGTTCTCTGCGCAAGTGAGATTGGCGGAGAAAGTGACCGTGGAACAAAAAAACCAGCGGGTGATCCGAGTAATAAAGGAGCTTGGGCTTCAGACATGTGCTAACACACGGGTATGTTTTTTACGTTTGTGTAGATTTTAATGGTTATCAGTTGATTCTTTTATATGGTTAGAGTAGTTAGAGTAGGCAGAGTATTTAGTAATCGAGAGCATAGCCAGCGACTCGGAAATAAATGCTTACCAAGAATTTTGACCCTTATTCAATAGCTTTTTGGCCCGAGATGAAAGGTAGTTTGGATTTGATATCGAGTGCTGAAGTAACGTTTGATACATTAATAGGAAGCTACATTAAAAACAGACAGACACCGAGCTATTAAATGACGACCTATATAAATAGTTGATCAGTCTAAATCAGGTAAACAAAACCCATTGACCACATGCAAGTATCTACGTTTTACCACTTAAACGTATATTTATTAATCAGGGGAAATTGACATGGAAATACGATTAAAATTATCCAGGTGGGTACAGAATTCGTGCGAGGAATTTCAAGTAGCGAAAGAAAACGCTGTAACATTGGCATCGAGATGATTACGTTACCACCCGTGCTTTTCCTAGACGAGCCAACAACGGGTCTTGATTCTAACACAGCTAGCTCTGTTTGTAAGCTGTTATTAAAGTAAGTAGTGCATATCAGAAGGTACTGCTGGTTTGCAGAAGCTTTTAAAGAACTCATTAATGTGTTGTAGAGGAACATAATATGAAATAGTACTAATTAACGTAAATGATCCCATCCATAGTCTAGTTCCACTCATAGTAAAAAATTCAACACACACACGCACGCACGCACGCACGCACGCACGCACGCACGCACACACACACACACACGTATATATATATATATATATATATATATATATATATATATATATTACGACGTATACTAGTATCGAATATCATCTGGACTCTACCAATGATGTCATGACGCAATACTCAGTTGAACCCTTATCGTTTTTACAGACTGGCAAAACGCGGGAGAACTATTATCTTCTCTATTCACCAGCCACGCTACTCCATCTTCAAGCTGTTTGATCGTCTGCTCCTGCTGGCGCGAGGAGAGGTGATGTACCATGGCGACGCCCAGGCGGCTGTCCACTACCTGGACAGCATCGGTGCGTGTTGATCTATGTAACGTGCGCTCTTAGTCTCTATAGTGACTAAGTCTTAGTCTAAGAGTTTACCCTTAGTTTACTTTACTTTTAGTCTTGCATTAGTCTTGGTTTTTTTCTTAGTCTAGTCTTAGACTAAGTCTTAGTCTCGCCTCGGAATACACGCGGCCGTTTGACGACGTTAAAATTTACGATTGAAAATAGCAGACGGAAACAACGGGCCGTGAACGTCTGTCATCGGTGCTAAGGCGACTATGGACATTACTCTCTGACGGTTGCCTTCAACAAATATTTTGCGTTTGTTTCAGGTTATCCAATCGAGGAGTTCAATAATCCCGCAGATTTTTTCCTGGATGTCATTAATGCCGACACGGAAGCAGACGAAGACAATAAACAGCAGGAACAGATAGAACTGAACCGGCAGCTGGAGCAAAGTGGGAAGCTGGTTGAGGGTAAATGAGCTTAAGAAGCAATAACTGTTAAGTTATAACGAGTAGGCGTCAGAGATTATACACATAGAGTTCATATTTGCTAACACATTCGGCTACTCACAATAAACTCGGCAATGATTGGCAACTCAAACCACTGGGCAACCAATCTCAGGTAATGTTGGCAAAGTTATCCTGATGGAAACTTATTTATACAGCGTGTATGTAAAACCCACACTATTCGCCGCTCTCGCTTCTCTAACATAGTCTCCGCATTTGTTTATGTGATTTTCACGGGCTAATTAAATTGAATGTATGCGTATGTTTGACAGCCATGCGCATGCCACGCGTAGGCTTATACGACATAGGATATACTCGCGCACATAGTATAGTTTAATATTTTATAGTTTAATCCATAGTTTTGTATTTTAATCGATTGGTTATGCCTCAAATTGTACCATAGCGTCGAACAGAACGTGTTGAATGTAGGTGGGCACCTTTGTTTTACAACTGGCTTTCGTTATAGGGCGAAACAAACTGTATTTTCAGAATATTACTTTTACGGCAATAGAAATATATTTTCGTGACAATTACAGAAGATGCGAGATTTGACCGCATTACGGAACGACATGTATCGTTAATCAAAGCATACGGAGAGTCAGAGTACAAACAACTGGTTGATGCAGAGGTGGATCCCATGATTGAGAGTAAGCACTGATTCAATGTAAACTTGAATAATTAATATGTGACGCTTAAAATGCCGTGCATGCACGATATATGTGGCAATATGCTAATATGCATAACGCCATAAACGATGAACAAAATGCATATACACGGAGATGTTACTATTTCTCTTCGAATTACTACGAAATAGCGTAACCAACTATTAGAAAATCTCAAGGAGCGTGTCAGCTTTAATTATCCGTATGAAATATCTTTTTATAATAATACCCGAGTTAGTGAACTCGCTGAACGGTTAGCGGTACGGTTGAGCGTACCCGCAAGTCATTTTTAATTCACACTGTAAAGACAATGTGAGAACAGTGTTGTAGTTCAAGAATATGGGAACCGTTCTTTGTGGCATATCTATCAGGAGAAAAAATAATGATTTATTATTTGCTAATATTACCTATTTATTTTTATTATTATTCATAATAATATTATTCTTGTTATTGTTATTATTTCATGTTTTTTGTTATTGTTATATCAATTTGTCATATATCTCAGATATATATTATCATACATGTGATTTTTTTATTCAATATTTTCTAAGCATCAATTTGCGTGTAATTCTTACCTAAGAATACAAGAACAAGCTGGATAAGGGGGAAGAGGTGGCGATGAAGGACATCGACCACGCGACAACATGGCTTCACGAGATGAGAATGCTGGCCGGTCGCGCAGCAGTAAACACGTACAGAAGCCCGCAAACGACGTTTGTGCAGGTATCTTCTGGCTTTTAACATTATTTTAATTATTTTCATTCATTAATAATTAATTATTATTTAATCATTTATTATTATATGATATTTTTATTAATTGTTTTTTCAGGATTACTACTCGAAGTGTGTTGTAAATTCATACGAGTTCACTGTAGTTTCCGTGGCTAATATACTGTTTATTGTACATGACGATTTACATCACGTTATCGATCAGCAGATATCACGACTAACTTTGCTACTTCCCGCCAGATTAATTATATCAATGATACATAGATCTGGGTAATCAAGAGATTAGTTAATTGAGACTGAATTGAAGTTAATTAAGTTACTAAGACTCGATTAATATGCAGTGACTGAGGATAGATTATTCATATATATAGTTATTCGTTTTCATAAAAATTTCATTATTTCTAGTTTTATAAGCTCAAAATATATATGAAGCTGATTTATAACAACTATTGTGTTAATTAAAGAAAATTATTTAATATCGAAATAATATGTTAAATGCCTGATTGCGTTCAGCTAGATCTGAATATGACATTTATGATTCATGTGAAAAACAACGTCTTTTCCATTATATTTGCCCTTTTCTAGGCCTTTGTCATGATCGCACAAGCTTTTGTTATTGGAATTATCTACCTACAAGTGGGAGAAAATCCTGATGATGCGATTTCAAATAGGTAGGTTACCAAACTGCGAGAGAGATTAAATTTGTTTTGCGTGCTTCGTTAATAAGTATAGTTGACCTTTGCGTCATCCACTTACGATCATGGGCGTAGTAACGCGCGTGCACAGAAAGAGAGAGACCGGTAGAAATTTACATGAGAAGCAGAATTTTATAATGCAAAAATAAGAAGATTTTGCGTTCTACATGGCGAACCTTATTCTTTAAAACCTACATATTGTTTTTTCAGAACTGGTGCTTTCTTCCTTATCCTCACGAACATGGTGTTTGGTAATATATCTTCAGTCGACCTGTTTATCAGAGAGAGACCGATTTTCATGTAAGCAAACATGACCTGACCTATGATTAATAGCGATCTGTAAATATTTTTGCTGTTAGGGCATGCCACCCATTTTGTCACAAATCGCGTAATATTAACTATCTATGCAAAAAGACGTCATGATATTCATTTTTCACGCGTTCACTGACTGCTATGGTGCAATTGCAGCAGCACCATGCGAATGGATTACGTGACGGAGACGTTTACCTTTTGTGACAGAAAACTATGATACCGCTCATAATTAAATTAATCTTAAAAGCACATCTTTCTTTTAGACGTTATTGTAATGAAACGACATTTTTCTAGTTACATGAGACTTTCTAATTAAATATATCTAGGTACAATAAAACCGACGACGCGATTTGATGCTTGATACTAATTGAAAAATACATCTTTTCCACAACTCTCTTCCTAAATTGATCACAAATGAAACAAAACATGTTTTTGACACGATAAGCAGTACATAAAAGTGATCGGCGTCAACGGAATTAACATATAATGATTAGAATGCATAATATAAACCTATCCTATCTTACTGGGCTGTGGTATCGCCAGGCACTGCTCTCTATTCATTGCCTTATATGTGACACTGTTGCGAGTTTGGTCTTGTTGTCGTTTCAGACACGAAAACATTAGTGGCTTTTACAGAGTGTCGGTTTACTTTTTTGCGAAAATCACGAGTGACCTTTTACCTAGAAGATTCGTCCCAACTATCCTCTTTTCTACCATCACCTACTTCCTCATAGGTAAGTGAAAACATTATTATTATTATATACACTTATTACTAATTAGAAGGGCAAAAAATGCGCTATGGACACACATATATCAATATTATTCGAGATCCGAGGTCAAAGGTAACATTGGTTTCGAGTGGTAATAAATTGGCAGCTAAATTTAGCAATAATTGTTTCGATGAATATAAAATCAGAAGTAAATAACACTCGTTAAGTATGACTGCAACACACTAAAAGTGAACAAGGGGAATTAGATTGTAGCTTTCGTCTATCTGTAATTCATTATGATTTACTCAAATTTGACCTTAAACCTCCGGTCAGCTTCATCCCTTATCGTTTTCCCACAACTAATCTCAACCCATGGCATCACAGGCACTTGGAGCGTTTCAATAAAATATAATGCTAAATAAATACGAAATCTATTTACTACCAAAGTCTTAATGTTTCTCTACTCTCCTTCACCGATATTATTGCCGACAAGCCGTGCTGCAAATGCTCCAACGACAGCAAACACACGCCCACCGAATGCACGCTGCTACGCTGCTGCGCCGCTGTACGCTATGCACAGTTACACATAGAGCATATAGAGCTCTATATGCTCTCTATAGAGCTCTATATGCTCTATAATTATGTGTAACCATAGATATATACAACACATGTATATGTATATGCGTTGTATATGTTGCAATATTGTAATATTGTATTGTAATGTTGTATATATTGTAATGTATATGTTATGCGTTGTATAACACATGTGTTGTATATATCTATGGTGTAACTGTGCATAGCGTACAGCGGCGCAGCAGCGTAGCAGCGTGCATTCGGTGGGCGTGTGTTTGCTGTCGTTGGAGCATTTGCAGCACGGCTTGTCGGCAATAATACTAGGTGAAGGAGAGTAGAGAAACATTAAGACTTTGGTAGTAAATAAATTTCGTATTTATTTAGCATTATATTTTAGTGAAACGCTCCAAGTGCCTGTGCATGGCATCAAATATACAAGGTTTTCGAAAAATCCAGTGTCACTTGGACCCGCCGCTGCCCCACTAAATAATCAACAAATCTAAGCATCAGCTACCGGCAGGAAATTACGTAGACAGAGTATTTATCATATTCTAGATGATTTTACCATTTTTAGACTTGACCAGATCTAATATACTGTCCTCATCTACTGGTTCAAACCTTCCCTTTTCGCACAAGGTGGCGACCATCGTTGGCAAGGAACAGTGTTTATACCAAACTCCACGACAGATAGCGCTCTCGCTCATGGGCTCAATCTACCATGACTCATCATCTATATATATATATATATATATATATATGATCTATCTATGGTATCCTGAGTGAGCGAAGGGGCACTGCATGCAGTTTGTGTTTATACTATATGAAGAATTGCAT